TTTACTTTCATTTTCTGGACTGCGTTGTTCAGAACATGTATTAGAAAAAGCAACTAGAAAAAACAATTGCTTCTGAATTTAGTTTTAATTTTCCATTATAGTTGGTATGTGTATATAAAAATATATATTGCATAAATAAGCATTCTTATATGCATAGACATGTAGGTATTTCTGTATGTATATGCACACATGGTTTAATTTGCTGATGGGGAGTAAGGTTAAATTTAGTTTTCAGAGACAATTTTAAAATTTGGACAAAATGAAATAGTGTAATTCTGAACTGACTTAAAAGGCTAATTATATTACTCTGATATAAAATGAACTATATAGTTGTTTGAACTATAAAAAAACTGCGTAGTTTTGTTGTGTGTATGCATACACACGTTGCATGTCTATATTGCATATATTATGCTTAAAAATGAAGGGAGTGTTTGTTTATAGGAAGCTATTGATCATTGTGTTATATCCCTGAAACTAATATGCATTGCATTGCTGCATGTTGTAAATGGCAAATTTATTTCAATTAGGATAGATACTGTGTCTTGTGAAGTCTTTTTCTTCTTTACCTGCTTGGTCAGCTGTCTTGATGAACATGTTCATGTTCCTTAATTTTAAATTGTTGCTTTTCAAAGATGCATAGTAATGTCATATGTGATTTGTATGATGTAGACTTTAAGTAGGGAAAAAAAATCCAAGTCATTTACAAGTCATATTTTGTTACATCGCAAATTATCTGAATACCTGGTAGAAAGATTTGAATTAATTGCTTGTAGCTTAATTCCAGTAGGTCTCATAGTTTCAATAGCACCAAGTCTTTTCCCATCCTCTATACTATTGATCACGTGTATTTTGAGATGAAAGCTATTTTTCTCATGCACTGAAATTTTGTTTTCTATTGAAATTCAGAAAATGATTTTCAATAGGGCGAGCCGTAAGTAACAACTGATGAGAACAAATAATTAAATCTGACAAGAAAGACAATAACAAAAATAATTGTAATGTTAAGACCCTTAATAGCGGTGTTTGCCATCAGGGCCTGACAGAAGCCACAACCTCGCATGCTCAGTCCTGCCCGTTGGATGGAATAGGATTTGCTGGGTTCCCCTGTGTTTGCACCATTCTCCTTTCTAGTATCCCCAAGTTCGGTAGCATTTTTTTTGAAGAGATATATTTTTCTTCATTTTAGTATCATTTTTAGGTTCATATTTGTGATTTTTTTTCTATATTGAAACCATAGGTTCAGGGAGGTTAATATTAATAAGGCCAGCGCTCAGCAGAAATCTTCAATTTTTAGTTAGTGGACTTGAGCTTTGGGGAAAGGAAGAAAAGTTCACAAAATTGAGAACCTTCTTCCTTCTGATGCAGTCTTGAAATAGGTGCCCAAACAGTAGTCTATATTTTATATGAAGAACTATTTTTTAATGTAATCTATGATTAGCTGTGAAAGAATATAGTGGTATTGTAAATAGTAGTATACTTAGCAGATCGAAGTAAGTAGTATACTTAGCAGATCGAAAAAAAATCATTGCTAGAAGAAAAATAGATTTTTCTCTCTCCCCTGCCTCACACTTTTCACAAGTTGTTTGTTCTCCTTTCATGTATATGACAATTCTTGTACACGAACAATGTATTAAAATTCTATGTGATGGTAAAATCAGGATGTTTGCACAAGAGGTCAAATATATTTGTTTAATGCACTTTGAGTTGATATTTGAAGAATGAAGGTAAGTGGAGAACAAGTTGTGAGGAGACAATGAACAATTTCTGTTCTGAATAACAAGGAAATTTAGACCACAAGTGTTAACAGTTTAGAGAGAATGACTCATAGTAATAGCAGTAGAATGAAGAGGACAAAGTCATGCAATTTGTTAGTGAACTTATGGCTATTTTCTTAGTGATATAACTTTTTATGATAAAACTTTTCTATTCCTGAGTATGTGATGTTTCCTATGCACCTACTTGCTAATGGTGCCTGGCAATGTAATAGTAAGTATTTGTTAGTGTTAATAAGCATTGCAGTTCAAAACACAAGGGTAGTAGTAATACTTTCTGTTTACAAGAGGATGCTCTTATTTATTGCAAATGTAGAAGCTGTCATGTGGCAGTTGCTGACTTGTCCTCCCATTAAGAAAGACTGGAAAAAGCTAGAAGAAAAAATATGAGCCCATCTTGATTGGATTTGAACACGCTAGTAAACAGTGACCTCAGTACCATGCAAGTGTGTCATTGTGCTTATCAAAATACCATTTCTCCTTGTGTACTTGTTTTTGTTAGGGTCTCCAGTGTAACGGTATGCCAAAGTAAATTACTGTTACTTTGATGTTTGAGATCTCAATTGCATGAAAGTCTTTCTTCATTTCATTTTTCTTTCTTCAGGCGATGGATCTCAACTGTTTTTGGTAATTCTGACGAGCGCGGTAGGTGGGCAGGACGGGTTTGCCGCTGGATAATTGTTCTTTTCTTTTTCTTGCTAAGTTGGTTTCAAATAAATCAGTATTTTGGTATTTTCTGCGACATCTGCTTTAAACCTCTAAAAAGTAGAAAGAGTGACATTTGCTGTCAAAATGAATGTTCTGCAAGCTAATGGCCTGGCATTATTCCCTTTGTTAGCATTACCAGCTATTATTTACTACTTCAAAGTACCCACATAGAGGTACTATAGTAAAAGAAAGCTTATGCAAGCTGGTCATACCTATTTATAACAATACAGCGTCTGAGCAACATTTATTTTTATATACCTAAATCAAGGTTTGCAGAAAGTCCCTGTGAGTGCTTTCATGGACAAGAAATGCGCAGTGTCTTTCTCTTTGATTTCCCCAAACGAGAACTGAGAAGCGCTTTCCCAAGGCTCAAGTGAGAGGCACAGTATCAGTTTCAAAGATGCAGCAAAAATTGAAGAGAACCTGTGATGACTTCATAATTTAGGGAGAAAAAAAGAATTTCCCTTCTTTTGGATTATATGATAAGCAGTGTTTTCTCTTAAAACTACATTTGAATCATCAGTATGCGACTGCTTGCCTAGGCAAATATGCAAGTAGAGTTAGTCCTGTATTTATAGAGATCATATTTCGTGCCTGTTGCATTAGGATGACTTTCCCAGCTTGGTTTACCATTCTATTTGACTGATGTTAGAGCTTTCTTAATTGTCATCCTGCTTCTTCGCATTTACTGTATGAGCCCCATAAGTAGATATTGCCATTAATGAGTTTATAGTTTCACTGAGTGCTATTCTGTACTTTTAGCCAGTCCTTACCAGTAGAGGAAATATATTTTAATGTTTATATGTGTTGTGTGGGTTTTTGTTGAAGTGGTTAAAAACTGTTGGGCTAAAAAAAAAAAAAAAAAAAAAAAATTACATGCAGTACAAAATTGTTTGAGAGGTTTTTGGAATTTTGAGTTTGTTTCAATTTTATACTCATTATTTTGATATATAATAAAACAAAAGAATTGCTAAAACTGTCGAGTATACTGGAAGAAATTTTACGTGGACTGTAGTGGTAAGGAGAATTAGAGTTGACTTTGGTAGTAAGTTTTTGGTAGTATCAAGTTTTTAAAAGGCCTTCATTAGGAGGTATGTTTTCAGTGAACTCATATAGAAAAATAAAATGTACTTGTATCTATGTAAGTCCCTTGGAGCTCACTGTAAAATGGGGGCTGTAGACATTTGTTTGTTGCTATGTGTATGTCATGAAAGAGCCAAATGGTTTCCAAAATGTACAGTCATAAACAGATTATAAAATTCCCAAGGGGAAGCCTGATGGGGCTATCATAACTTAACAGTGGAACTGTGAGTCACTGTAGGAAGAACTCATGTAATAATCTTTTCCGGTCTTTATAGGACCAGGAGGATAAAGCGTCATTTAATTTTATTTGATTAAAAACTACTAGGCAAGAGAGAAAGTGAAAGAAAAATGAAGCATCTTCTATTTCAGTCATGAAAGATGAATGGGATAAATAAAACGGGTATTACAATCGCTGTAGTCTACTGATTACCTTTAGGTCAGCTTAGTGCTCCAAGATAGTTGTGGAAATGATCAAATAACTTGATTATTCAAGATTGTTCAAGAGGCTTTTTAGACTTAAAACTCTACTTTTGAGTGGAATAGCCAGATTATAAGGCTTGCTTAGGAGTTTTTCCTTGCAAGTTTAGGCATATATATATGCACTGTTCAAAGACTATCTGTGGAAGGGCTTTGTTTACCTTAAGAAGTTGTACCAAAATGTACTTACCTTAGCGTGGTGTCCTAGAGAATGCTAACATGCTTTTACCTAGACCATTATGTATTGCTACCTACTGATGATCATCTTATAGCTGTCTCCTGTTGCTTTATGGTTTTTGCAGAAAGGGCAATATAATTTTGTAAGCAAGCATGTTTGCTGTGAATACTTCCATGAATTATCAGCTAGAGCTTTGAGGAGATACTGCAATACTGACAGCTTGTCTCTATGTAATGGTGTCTAGCTAGGATATCAAACAACAGTGTTTACTTTTACTGTTTTCATTTTTAAAAGAAAATGGTCAATGTTTTGATTAGATTTTTTTTTCCATGAGTTATTCTCATTTTTAGGTTTGTTTTGATTGTTTCAAGTTGCTGCAAAATAGCACAGCTTTGCATGCTGCTTGAGGTTGTTGTGAGCAGCTTTGAGTGGGTTAATCCTATGCAAAGGAACCTGTTGCAGAGGAGCTGAGGCTTCCTCTAAATTCAGAACATGAAGAAGAGGGAGAAAAATATGATGCTGTGGAAATGGTTGTTCCTTTGGGGAACTGGAAAGATAGGTGAGGTAGGTTTATTAAGGGGCTTACAACCCCCAGAAAAGTGTTACTCTGATTTGATTGCCGTTGTGTGCAAAATATGAAAATATTTCCAAAACCATAATTATATTTAATGGTCTTTCTTCTTCCAACAATCAAGAGAGAATGATTAAATGAACTTTAAATCAGCAATATGTTTATTTCTGCTCCCCTAAAAGGTGATGATGTTGTCATTTGTGTTCAACAGTGTTTCCTTGATATGACGTTTGGAGCTGGCGGTCATACTAGAGCTCTGCTGCAGGAAGCCAAGGACATTACAGTATATGCGCTAGACAGGGACCCCACGGCATATAAAATAGCTCAGCAGCTCTCAGAATCCTACCCGTAAGTAGTTTTCTGCTGTCTTAAATGTGTGAGATGAGTTTAATACTGTGATATGTATCTAATTCAACCTATTTTTATAGTTTGTACTTATTTCTAGAGTCTTTAATATCTTCTTGTAAGCAGTAAGAAGAAATACTATTCAGTTTATTTTAGTAATTGCAGGCAAATTTTTCCGAATTTTTCAGAGTTAAATACGTGTTTTGTAGTCCATTAATTTTGTGTATGTTTCAGTTTAATATTTAAAGTTTATGTCTTAAAAGAATTCATGTACTTTCTAACTTGAGATTGTTCTCTCAACGGAGCTGCAGAAAAGCATGTCATGATTTTGCTAACAAAAGTTTCACGAAAGATGGAATGATACACTTAAATAATGAAGTAATTTGAAAATGACTCATTCTGAAAACTTCCTTTTAAAAGCAAACACAATTTATTGTAATTCAGTATTGTTTGCTAAATCTTCCTGTGCCCCTGGCTTCAGAAGCTACTTGCCAATTAAACAGCTTCTCTTTTTGTGTTAATGCTGTTTAACATGTCTGTCAGCTCCCTTATTGTGTCAAGTACCTAATTCATTAAATGAAAAGCTGCTACAATGCAGATTTTTGTTAACTATACAAGCATTTAGTTATCAAGTTATACAATGTTAATTATACAAAGGTTCGTGTATTTTATTCAAGAAGCAGTCTACTCAGCATGTATATACATCCCTGCATAAGTGTAGACTATTTAGATTTGAGTAAATGCTTTTGAAAAAGCGGTTTATTTGTCCAGGAAGTAAAAATGTATAGCCACAAAATCAAATACTGTGGAGAAGGTAATACTTAAGGGGTTGAGTGAAAGGTGGAGGAAGAAGATATTTAGTATCATGCTTAATCTACCTCTTCCAACGTTTTCTATACTAGAAACACATAGTTTAAACATTGCCATCAATGGAGAGGAAATGGATTTTAAAAGAGCAGTAGTCAAAGCAATGCAGAAGGTGTTCTTCGTCTTTTCTGAGAGAAAAGGCATTCCTGTGCGTGGTCAGAGGCCCAGGGCAAAACATTGGGCATGTGGGAAGAATGCCTAGCTCATTCTGTAGTCTTCCTGCTTTTAAATAAGAGCACTTAAACACTCATCTTAAATTTTTACTTCTTTATGGATGCAAGTGAGATAGTGTGGATGCAGAAATTCATAGAATTCTTGTCTCAAATACTACAGGATAACTTTTTTTGACAGAATACTGTGGAGATTGTGTTAAGGTAAGTCCATTTTCTCTCCAACTTAACTTTCGACTGCATTCCTACAGATTCTGCTGTCATAAAATCTACTGTTCTACATTTAGGCACTGAAAAAAATACAGGTAGTCTCGATGGAAATAAATGGGTATAAAAATTATGAAAAACATTTACCAAGCGTAATCCAATGATCAGCGATTCTCTGACTCAATATATTTAGCCACAAAGCACCCTATGCAAACCTTGATGTGAAGGAAGTTTATTTTCAAGATAGATGAAGAGATTTTACAAGAATTACCAAAGTGCTTTGCTTCACTTCGGAGGTGATAGCACAAGGAGGGGGGAAATGCCTTTATGCAACTTTAATTTGTAAAATTGGAGTTTCATCGTATGTTTGTGGGATTTTGAATACAATGGGAAAATTGCAAGTCCTACATATATTGAATTTTCTGTTGCAGTTTTGTTTCTACTTAAAACTTTGTACCTTTTAAACAAGAATGCTCAAATATTTCAGCATCTTGACTATGTTGGATTTTAAATCTTGTAGTGCCATTTGTAGTAGGCTATTCTACCGTAAAGTCTTTAGGTATGTTAATTGCTATTACTTGTTCTGGTTAAGCCACTCAAGCTTAGTAAAGCCATGTAATTTCAACTGTTACCCACTGGGGTGCTTTTTTTCTTGTTTGCAACATCCTGTATCTTATGTCAATGAGCTGTGAGGTTATTAAAGCTCAAGTTGCAGAAATATGTCCAAAGATATGGTTGGAAGAGGTGAGTATGGCTAACTTAGGGGATTTTTTTTCTGTTTTCAGAGTAATAAATGCAGTCTCAACTGTACATAGCCAAAAGACAGCTGGAGCCATAAGTCACTGAATGAGAGAACACTGAGGGGAAAAATGTCTCTGATGTTTGTAGTTTAAGTGCATCATAGCTTTGTGGTAGTGGTGTTGTCAGAAATAAAATACAAAAAGAGTAGAGTTCCCTCTGCAATTCTTGCATTCATTTAGCTTCTCTGTTTATTATTATTTTTAAATATGTAGTGCTGCTTTAATAAGGAGAAAATGGGTCAGGGCTGTTTGATATTCAGTGTGTGGGTGGGAATCCTTTGACGTGCTTTCTGGGGAAGCCTCTAACTTGGGAATTGCTGCTGAGAATCTGGGAGAACAAGCTAAAATTCTGTCAGTAGCAATATATATTACAAGTAAACCCTTTCACACCCACTGAAAGAGAGAGGTTAGAAAGGTGGCTGAAATCTAGCAATTAACCAATATCATTGCAAGCTTCTCAATATGAGAAACCTACGCAAAGCCTACGCAGAAAAGACAGCATGTTCTTTAATTCTTTGCACTGAATAAGAAATCGTGCCCCAGAAGTAGGGAAGAATAGTATTCAATTCCTCACTTAATTGAACGGCAATATATTTTACTGCAATTCTGAAGTAACTTTGAGGTTTGTGGGTTTTTTATTCAGGTAATAAGTTTACAAAAGAAAACAGAACCATCTGGGGAAAATTTGTACATATATTAGATCTTAGAGGAAAACAAACCTTTTTTATGTTAAACCCATCTTCAGTGGTTGTGAATTGTAGCTGAGTATGTAATATATTGATGTTTCCATTATATTACAGGTTATTATTTAACTTTTTACTGTGGGCTTGAAAGAAGGTACCTTCACTGCCTGTCATCGAGGCATGTATATGTCATGATAATGATGCTTTGACTATATGTGAGAGAAAAAAAGAGGAAAAAAAGAAGCTCTCTATAACCTTAAAACTTTCTAAAGGCTTCTCCATGCTTTTCAGTGTCTATGTCTCAAATAGTACTATGTTCCCAGTCTTAAAAAAAACCCACATATGTGCAGTTTTTGCTTTTATGTTGAATATGAGATTCTTATGTACTCAACCATGTTAACTAGCAGCACTGAATGTTACTGGATGTTTTTTTAATTTGCCTGACATTCCTATGGTAATACTCTGAATTGCAATCGAAGTCATATACAGTTAACAGTTATGCACTGCTGCTGAGGAATTGGGAAAGACAAGTTTTTTCTTAGGGATTAAGATCAAGGAGCTGAAACAGTGACTAACATGCAGTTAAGACCAGGCTGGTTTGTTAATGTTTTGTTGGTTATTTTCTAGCTGAATCAAGAGATAATGGAAAGAAATGTTGATGCCTCTTCATCGAGATCATATTTTTAATCTCTTAGTAGAATAATTTTTAACTTGTTCTCAATACAAATGGTTTCTAAAACATGTAACAATTTATATCTGAATTTGAATTTTAAAACCAGCTTAGGTAAGTCTGTATACAGCAGCACTTGAGATGCCTGCATATTCTCGCCACTGACCTGAGTTACCATTAAGTCATTATACATGTTGAGTGACAAGGGAAGTTACAAAATAAAAATATAAAAGAGCAAAGTAGAAAGCACGCACTGTAAAGTATTAAAGGTATTGAACATGTTTTCTATAGAGAAAAATATGCCTTTTTATCGAAGCAACTGAAACACATATAGTAAATATAGGCTTTGTATCATACCGTGCACCACTGGCAGTTGAGAGAAAAGGCCCTGTTTGTTAGTCTTCAGCCAAAATTATCCATCTATCTGCTGTTGATAGTTATCCGTAATGAAAAGTCATTTCTTTGAAGATCTCCTACAAATAGAAATAAATTTTTTTTATAGTTAATAAGTGAACTATGATTAATAATAATCATAGTTATCAGTAAAAAACAATGACTTAATGTAGCACATTACTATCTAGTTCTTAGTAGTATTCTGTGAGCATCCAAAGTTGTATTGCTTTTCAACAAACGGGAAGAATTATTCTCCTTGGGAGTGTGTATTATGGTTTTTCAGTTAGGAAATAAAGGTATGCATTAATATAGTCACAGAGCAGTGCATTATTAGGGTATAATTGGTCTTTTTGATGAATTTTTACATAGTTGGGAAAAGGGACGCATTAGAGTTTGTCACAAAAGGAGAATTAATCATGGTAAGAACCAGTGAATGCCTACATTGATCTCTGTGTGTGTTCATATAAACAAAATGTATTTGGTTGAAGCAGAACAGGACATTTCACAGGAAATGGTCATTGAATTACAGATGTTTCCGGAGCACCCATAAAGCACATCACTGTGCAGGACCAGGTAGGTAAACTGGAAAACTTTTCCAGACATCGTGGAAAAACATTGTGGGAGAAGAGGAACTGTGAAGAGACATTAAAAGAAACCCAACAGAGGTTTCTAGGGAGGAGATACCTTATAGAGTGGTCATGGATGTGAAAGTGAGTTGTGATGATATCTGTATGGGAAAAACTGAATGGGATCCTAGACCGTGTTGTATTTTCCCTGTTGTTTTTTTTTTGTGTGCCAATATTTGCTGTGAGATGAGTCGTAAAACATTGGTGCCTGTGCTAGAATCAGTGGCAGGAACTGCGAGCTATTGTGTTCATGGGAAACCAGAAGGCAACTTTAACCCACCTTGCATAGTCAATGTGGGCAGGGAAGTGCATTTTTAATGGGCTGAAACAGATTGACACGTGTTTCTGGAAGGCTGGAGCAGAGCACTTCATGTCTGATGGTAGGATGTGAAGCATAATTGCATGTGGTATCAACATCTCCCACTTCTCTAGCACAGAATTCTTTTTACCACTGTGTCAAAACAGAGTTTTAATGCTGAATGACATGGAGAAGTTTTGTCTGCTGGATTTACAACATAGAGCTATCAAAATCATTTCAGAGCTCTAATTTTTTATGCCCCAGTTGTTTAACTCGAGATCTGTGTAGC